CCACAAGAGTTTTTGCGTGAGAATGCGCCAGTGTAGACGTAGTCAGTAAGGAAAGCAAATATAGTAGAAGACCGCATTTGCTTACCGGGGACATCCTTCGTGAGCTTACACATAAAAAAGAAGCTTACAAGAAGTGGAAACTTGGATAGATGACTAGAGAGGAGTATAAATATATTGCTTGAGAATGCAGGGGAGTGATCAGGAAGGCGAAAGTGCAATTGGAATTACAATTAGCAAGGAATGTAAAGGGTAACAAGAAAAGTTTCTACAGGCATGTTAACAATTAGAGGGTGGTCAGAGAGGATGTGAGACCCTTACTGGATGAGGGATGTAATCTAGTGATAGATGGTATGGGAAAAGCTGAAGTCCTCAATGTTTTCTTTGCTTCTGTCTTCACAGACAAGATCAGCTCCCCGATTACTGCACTAGGCAATGCACTATGGGAAGGAGGTGGACAGCCCTCAGTGGAGAAATAACAGATTAAGAACTATTTAGAAAAGCTAGACATACACAAATCATGGGTCCGGATTTAATGCATCCAAGGGTACGGAGGGAGTTGGCAAATATCATTGCTGAGTCCTTGGCCATTATCTTTGAAAACTGATGCAGATCGGGAGAGATCCTGGATAATTGGAAAAAGGCAAATGTAGTGCCCATCTTTAAAAAAGGGAAGAAGGACAATCCAGGGAACTACAGACCATTTTGCCTTACCTTGGTCCCCCAAAAAATCATGGAGGGGGTGCTCAAGGAATCCATTTTGAAGCACTTGGAAGAGGAGAAAGTGATCAGGAATAGTCAACATGGATTCACGAAAGTCAAGTAATCCCTGACCAACTGATTAGCTTCTATGATGAGGTAACTGGCTCTGTGGATATGGGGAAGTCAGTGGATGTGATATTCCTTGACTTTAGCAAAGCTTTTGATACAGTCTCCCACATAATTCTTGACAGCCAGTTAAGGAAGTATGGATTGGATAAATGGACTGTAAGTTGGATAGAAAGCTGGCTAGATTGTCGGGCCCAATGGGTAGTGATCAATGGCTTGATGCCAGATTGGCGGTCGGTTTCTAGCAGAGTGCCCCAAGGATCAGTTCTAGGTTTCGTTCAACATCTTTATTAATGATCTGGATGAGGGGATGGATTGTACCCTCATCAAGTTTGCTGATGACACTAAGCTAGGAAGAGAAGTAGATATGCTGGAGGACAGGACTAGGGTCCAGAGTGACCTAGACGGATTAGAGGATTGGGCCAAAAGAAATGTGATGAAGTTCAACAAGGACAAATGGAGAGTCCTGAACTTGGCACAGAAAAATTCCAAGCATTGTTACAGGCTGGGGTCCAACTGGCTAATCAGCAGTTTGTCAGAAAAGAACCTGGGGATTACAGTCGATGAGAAGCTGGATATGAGTCAACAGTGTGCCCTTGTAGCCAAGAAGGCTAATGGCATATTAGGGTGCATTAGGAGGAGCATTGCCAGTAGATCCAGAGAAGTGATTATTCTTCTTCGAGCAGTGTCCCGTGGGTGCTCCACTATAGGTGTCGGGCTTGTCCCGGCGCCGCAGATCGGAGAATTTTCGTAGCCGTAGTCTGCCGGACCACACATGCGCGAAGCGCGGCTCGTGCTCTTTCGCGCCGTTTGTGTTCGCGCAGTCCGGCTCCCGCCAGTTCCTCCTGACCGTCCTCGGCCGTGGACGGAATACTGTTTTCTCCTCAGACTCTGTCAGCCTGAGAGAGGGAAAGAACTTTTAGGATTTAGTTAGTTTAGTTCATAGTTAGTTCTTTCCAGTTATATAATGACATTACTTTTAGTCGTAGTCGTTAGTTAAAAAAAAATTATTTTCTTCATAAGTTACCTGTAAATAGTTTCTACTGTAGATAGTTTTCTTCTTTACCCCATCAGAAGAAGACAGAGGTGACCATGCCGGGTTCTCCCGGTTTTAAAAAGTGCAGCTCATGCCGCGAAGCAATGCCTGCCTCCGACGGTCACGCTCTCTGCATCCGCTGTTTGGGTGAGGGGCACATACCCCAGAAGTGCCCTCACTGCTCCAAGCTTACCGCGAGAGCGAGGAAGGACAGGGACATGAGGCTCAAAATGCTCCTCTTTGATAGGGCATTACAGCCACAAGATGGAGCAAATCCCGGATCCCTCCCTGCTCCTTCAGCTGAGCCGTCCCCAAAGAAGGCGAAGAAAAGACCATCGCCTTCTCGTTCCCTTCCCGCGTGTTAGCGTGGGGGACAAACCTGGTACCTCAGGCGTGCATGGCTCTAAGGCGAAGCCCAGCCGCAGTACCTCGGCGCCACAGCCCGCGACTATTCAGGCGCCTAGGTCATCGTCGGCACCGAAGCCGTTCCCGGCACCGACGTCACATGCGGCACCGAGAACACCCGCTGCGCCACCGACGGCGACACCGCAAGCGACCCTGACGCAGACCACTCCTACGGCACCGATTCCCACCTCGGCACCGAAGGAACCTCTGGCACCGAACGCGTCGCTGGCACCGCGTCGCCCCCCGGCACCGTCAGATGCTCGGGCACCGCGCACTTCGCCGGCACCAAGTAACTCGCCGGCACCGAGCGATTCTTCGGTGCGGGAACTCACTCTGGCTTGGGAGTCTGTTCTCCCACAATGTTCTCTGCCTTCTGACATGGACCGTCGGCACCGATGGAAGGAAATGTGCAGCCTGTACGACCTTCTGCGGGACAAACTGCGTCATCCACGCACCGAACATCGAGGAGAATCATTACACCTTCTCCCTCACCAGAAAACATCCAATTTTCACCTGAACCGCCTTCTCCTTCATCAGGACTCTCTCCCCAATCTATCAGACACTCGCAGAGGGTTTACCATTCTCCACGTGTCTCGCCAAGACGCCGTTATCACCGGTCACCTCCACTGACCCCGAGATCCAGAGAACGATCTCGATCTCCCCGGTCTCCATCATGCTCCGGGCGCTATGGGTATTATACCTCTCACAGATCCCATTACTATTCTAGATTTCCGCACCGCTCCTCATATTATCATAAGTCACCGGAACACCGTTATTATAGGCACTACTCCCCGTCTCGACATTCCTCGGTGTCCTACTCTCCTCATCATTCACACACACCACCCAGCAGGGACTGTCAATCTTTACCAGCAACAGCCAGACCACCAACTCCATCAGGTATCCCGGCGCCCCAACTACCTGAGCCTCAGGTACTCCTACAACATACCACTGAGGATGAGTCTCAACATCAATCTCCTACCGACCAATCCTCTTCCTCTCCGGATGATGCTGTATTTCAGGAAGACACATCTCTGTCGGACGACCTTCGTCAGTTTCAAGACCTTTTCAGAAGAGTGGCGGTATCACAAAAAGTACAGCTTGCGGAAGTTCAGCAGAAATCCCACCACTTGCTTAGAAACCTTCATCCTTCACAACAGGTGAAGGTGGCTCTCCCATTGGATGATGCCATCCTGGAGATTGTTGATGACATATGGCAGCTGCTGGCTTCTGCACCGGCCACCAACAAAAAGGCAGACAAAAAATATTACGTTCCAGCGAAAGGGATGGAGTTTCTTTTCTCTCATCCTCCACCGAATTCTCTGGT